GGGGAGTGGGTCCTCCTGCCCCACTGGGGAGAGGAGACAGAGCCTGGGACACTGGTTTGGGGTAGGGGTGAGGGTGTGGGCTCTTGAGTCACTTGCAGAGGTTGCATGCAAAATGTTTGGGTTTGTTTCCAGCATCTTTGCTGAATCATTGTGATCCTGGGGAGAGTTCTTCCACCGTGAGCTCTCTGGCTCCTCTGTGATGGAAAAACGGTGCTTCCCAGCTCCTGCTGCAGGCCCGGGCCCCTCTCTGGCCTGGGCTCACAGGGGCAGGATTTCTGTCCCTGTCTTGCTGTCACTCCTTGGTCTGTGCACATGCTGAGCTCCGATGATGTGTGCAGGGAGGCTTAGTTTTTCTGACACCTGCCTTCCTCCAAAAGTGTTTGGAGACACATTTCCACATGCAGACAACTACTGTTTAGTTTCACAGAAGCAAAAGGGGTAAAACCCAGCAGCACAGGGCCAGCGGGACCAGGTTACATACAAGCGTCTTCCTTTTGCTCTCGTGAGATAGGGTGATGTGGGCTCTTCAGACAAGTAGCAATTAAAATAAAAGTTTGGAACCTGGGCTTAAACCGGAATGTCGCAGAGCTCCTCAGGGAAGGGAAGGAAACTTCAGGAGCTTGGAATTCATAGCAAAGCAATTAGACATAAAGGAGTGAAAATGCTGAGTGGCTGGTGTGAGCGTTTTTCTCTCCTGCCTGTGGTGAAGACTAAGTAAAAAGCAACTAAAGAAAAGCAGGAACTAAGTTAATTTTTAATAAACTGTATTAGTCATTATAAACTTGGCATGTAGAAGGTGATGGATGCTTTCTTTAGTGAAGCTGATCTCCTGAATTACGAGAAGATTTGGTAACTGGTTGTTTTAAGAGCTTGTCTCCTCCTTGTTCCCTTGGTTAGGGTAGCACGGTGCTGGGGCCTTATGGGTTTGCTCTGCAGACGCTGGACTCGCTGTGTGGTTGGTGGAGTACAGTCATCACTGGTGCTAGCTTAGTTTTTGTCAGTTCAAGTGAGTCACCGATAAGGATTTACAATAAAAATGTGCTTTTCAAATGTTATGACTGGCTGGGGAATAGAGAAGTGGTCCTTGCGCAGCATAGCTGTGCTGGGGGATGGAGTTTCGTTTTCTCGTCTTTGGAGATCTAGGTGTGAGAAGCAGGGAGCTCACGAAGTGAGTACGTTGAAATACCAAGTATATTTATCTGTATAAGTAGAGTTCTAGCTTTGCTATTTTTAAGTTGCCTTTGGTAGAAGTCCTGTCAGCTCTATGTTGACCTAGAAATCTAAGGTAGCTATTGAGGTTAAACAGTTGTGTGGAGGTTAAACAGCTTATGTTGTAATATGGATACCAAACTGTCCATTAAAGACCAGTGCCATAAGTAAATCCTTTAATTCTTTTGTTGAAATGAAAAACATTTAGAGCAAATCAGGTGGTGGGTACCTCTTGACCTGTAACTGTTAGGTGTATTTCTGCTCCTCCTTCAAGTAACCGCACGTGCCAGCAGTGCGGTGGTTTTCTCCAGGTGCAGTTGTAGCCTGTGGCCTTGACCAGATGCAGTGCATGTAGTCCCAGCAGTGCAAATGCTTAGCAGTGCTGCTGGCATCCCCTGGCCTGTCTCAAGCCTGTGTGTGTGTGTTCACAGATTCAGACTTTCAGCTGATTTTCATTTGCTTTCTCTGAATTTCAGCTTACAAAATGGTTGCAGTTAGCAGCTCTGTTCTGGGAGAAGCCCTGCTGAAGTTAATGGAGCTACTTGTTGCAGTAGTGTTGCTGGTGAAAAGCCTAGTAATCCTCTGAGTCATAATATGTGAAATAAGAGTGCACGTTTTATAAATGCAGGTATCCAGTTTACTGTATTAAGTATAAAATGATGACTTGAGTGGGGTGCTTTTCTCCAAAGGTACTTGCTTCTCATTGTGCCTTTCTAGTTTTGGATGTTCTTGGTGCTGGGCTACGGCAGCAGCTGTGACGACCGTGTTGGTGCTGTCTGTCTTCTCCCCACTTGCAGAAGCAGGATTATGGTTTGACACAGTAGGTGCACTTCTGCTCTCACCAGAGAATGTTTGGCTTAAATTTTGTCAGCAGTTTGTCTGGCTGAATTTAATCTTAAATATTTCTTATGGTTATTACCGACAGGCAGTCTTGAGATACAGCTGCATGTTCTCTGCTGTCTGGATGTGAGTGACCACGTTAGTGAGGCTGTCCCAGGGTGCAGGATGTTGTGTGGCACAGGGACAAGAGCTGGCTTGAGGCTGCCCATCGCGGGGTATGGATGGAGTGAGTGTCTGCCCACCCCCACTGATGCATCACTGTTATTTCAATCAGGAAGAACTGAAAACATCATTGAAAAGGGTGTATGTCCCCACCCTTGTTGTGATGTGGTTTGCTAGGTCTTATCTCAGGTTGTATCCAAACAGCAATTTTTGCCTGGGAAGTTGTGTAGAAATTCAGAGCTCGCAGGCTGGTGAGGGGAGCAGCAGGTAGCTGTGATCTCACTCAGGTATTTTAGGATGGCCTGTCGGGATCAGCCCTTGGCGCTGTGCGTCTCGCTCGCTTTGCCAGGGAGGTTTGTGTGTGCCTGGTGATCCTGGCTCCTTACACAAAGGTCGGTGAGACTTCTCAATGTCACTTACATGTTGAGGTCTGGGTCTGTTTTAGCTAATTGCTCATGTAAATTATTCACTCTGGTGTTACATAGCAGTGCTGTGATCAAAGATTAGTTCATGCCCTTGTTACAGACAGGTGGTATTATCTGTTTTTTTTCCGTGATAAAGAAAGTCTTGGTTCATCTGTAGTGTGGACTTAGATGCTGACCAAAATAACATAGTATCTGCCCACCAGTTTAAATAACTGATGGACATCTGTCTGTCTTTGAAATATTCTGAACATATAATTCTAATTAATTTTATTAAGACTGCAGATCTCTTCTATCATGATGACTAGTGAAGTTTCTGGCTGGCTGCATCGCTTCACTTTCAGGTGAATGTTCTCCCTGTATATCAGAAACCCGTACGAGTCTCTCCTGTGGTCTTAATGCGTCTGCATGTTACACTGGTGGTGTACTTGACCAGGGTTAACACCTATGAGTGCTGGAATTTAAAAGGTCTGGGCTATTGATAAAAGTTAATGAGCTGTACTTGAATGACAGTTCCAAATAAAACCTGAATGAATTCACTTCTTGATTTGTGAGCAGTTACAAAAAATAATTACAGAGGTTGGCAGAAGAGCTGGCATTCCAGGTTTATCTGCTGGTGGCGGGGTGGGTGAGCTTTAATATACTTTCTTGAGGCATACTCTGTCTCTAATTTGTAAAAATAAGATCCTGGTATGACTAGTTCTGTATCTTAGTATTTCTTAGTCTTCTGTTGTCTGACCTCATGATTTTCATACACTGATTTTGTTTTTTCTGTTAATACATCTGGGATGCAGCTGAGGCTGTGCTTGTGCTGCTGGCCCCTGAAGGCCTGACCTGCTGGACACTGCTGTGGCCAGTTGGTGGGTTTGGGCAGGGTAGCAGAGCCCGAAGAGGTGGGATGTGCTGCCTTGTTCTGTGGAGAACGAGACAAACCTTGTTTGCTAGGAATGAGAAGGGCAAGTAATCTTTTTGGTTGGGAATTAACTGATCTGTCAGTTGTTTTGGAGTGTGGGTCTCTGGCTCGGCTCAATCTTTGTGCTGCTTTTAGCTGGGTGACTGTGTGTTGAAGTTTGCTAGTAAAGAAGATGGGAACAGAAGTCTTGGTAACTGTGCGGTCTTTAAGATGTAAAAATAAACAAAGCTGAGAAGCTGCACCCTGCTTAAAACGGACTGACCTAAATTTTCAGCAATTCTAGCAGAAAGGCAGGCTCTGGGTAGGGATAAAGGCTTAGTGATGACTAACTGCCCTGTCTGTGCTTTGCTTGACATTGGGGAAATCTCCACTGGTGTCTGGGGTCGTTCACTTCCTCCCCTCCGCGAGTTGCACAACCCGGGCTGTGGATTTCCCTTGTTGTACTTGTGTGGAGAGAGTCCCCTTGTTAGGCGAGTCAGCAGTTCAGCATCTTTGGGGAAGTTACGGCACGCACGAGTTCTCAGATTGCTTTTGTTGGAGTGTTGTTGAAAACATTTGATGTCCTCTGGCTTGTCCCTAAAGAGATTTCTTTTGAGACCGTGTATGTGTTTGTGAAGTCCATTCATACTCTTTGTCTGTAGATTAATGTTCTTGCCATCAATTGCAGTTGTTCACTAATGAATTATTAATTCTGCAGTGAGATTTTTTTTTTTCCTTCATTGACTTTCATGCTTGATTGATTCTTCTGTGCAGTTTAAATGGGAGCATGGGAATTTTGACTGATATTAACTGATTACATGTATGATGTCAATGGTGGCTAAATAACCTTTTTTTTTTTGAAATTGGGTGAAGAACATCTGTCTTTCAAAGGACTCGCAGTTTCCCAGGTGAAACAGTCTGTTTGTGAATGTATCAGAGGCACATTGCTTGTTATTTAACAAAGCTGGGATGGTCAGGCAGCCGGTGGAATGATTACTTGTGTGCTCTGGAGGCAGTCCTGTGGGTAGCACGAAGGGAGAAGGAGGGAAAAGCTCGTTTGTAGATTCTTCTGCTAATGTGGCTTTGTAGCCGACTGCTCTCCTGGCAGAGCGCCTGCCTTGGATTAGAAAGCATTCCCTTCGGTTGTTCTTGTAGGTACTGATGGTCTGCCATGTTTTGTTCTTTGTTTTGTGGTTTTGTGTGTGCTTTTTCCTGCAGGGAGATAATAGGTGAATCGTCTATCCTTTCAGCGGCCTTCTGTTAAACTTGGGGTACCACAGTTCAAGCAACTGAACAGATGGATAATGGAGACTGGGGATATATGGTAAGTGAGCTCGTGTGTGTGTGCTCTGTGGTACAACTGGGCTTTCAAGATCTTGCAGGCAGAATCCTTCCAGATCTGTCTTGTGTAGATCCAGAGCTTCAGTTATGTGAGAAGAAAAACTCTGCATGCTACAACAGCTTACTTAGGTTCTCTGGGTGCTTCACCTCGCATGCTATTTGTGGGGAGAGCTCAGATTCATATTTCCTAGGTACAATCAGTGAGTACTAACCGACGCCTCAAGCTCACTGTTACCATTTTCCTAACACACAAAAGCTGAAAATAGTTTGTGCTTTCTCCATATAATTTTAAGGACAGTGTCATTTTATTTATAAAGAAAAATGTTTTTGCCTTGTAAAACCCTGTCTCAAACTAGACAAATTCATCTTATTTTTCTCCTCTTCTCTTTCTCTAAACATTCTGCTGCCGTGCATATGTCTCTTTTCTCTGGCTGGCCTCAGTCCTGGTTGTTAGGGTTGGTGGCCAGATGGGATTTATGTTCCTTTCTCTCTTGCTTCCTCATGTGCTGTCTGGAAGTTTATGTAGACCGGTTTGTGCTCTGCCTCCATCTTCTGTGCAGCCTGCTAATTTGCTAATAAATACTTCTTTTTAGGGTTAAAAGCTGAAATTTCTTTTTTGTTTGCTTGTTTTAATGTTGCCTCTTAACCAGAGTGTAGATTATTTTGGTTGTGAGCTCTTGGTCCTGTGTCTAAACTTGCACCGTCATCCTCTTTTGAGGGACAGAAAGAGGCTTAAGACTTGTTCAGCTGATTTTTTTTTCTTTTTTTTCTTTTTTTTTTTCTTTTTTTTTGTTCTAGACTGAGAGACAGATTGTGAAAGTAAAGCACACTGATGGGCCTCATTCAGACTAACTTGTTTTTCAGGAAATCTCTCTGTGCTCATTTCCCCATCTGTAGAATAGGAAAAAAACCTTGTTGCCCAAATGCAAAACTTGCTTCTGTGACAGTAGCTCAGTTGTTAAGATTTCTAAAGCGTTCTGGAAATGTGCATTCTGAATGTTAAGTATCATCCTGTCTAGTTGCCAGTTGTGCTTTGTTGCTAGGTGGCTTGGATTTGTTCAGGTCTAAACACAGGCTTTGAATGGGAGAAGCGTGATTCTCTCCAGAGCCTGCAGTTCTCAGAGTATTTGGCTTGTGTGTCAGTGAGGTGAGCGAATCTTCTTGTGGTGGCTTCATAAACTCTGCAATTTCTCTTTTTCTAGATGACTGATCCAGTCACGCTAAATGTGGGTGGACACATGTATACGACATCCCTCACGACTCTAACGAGATATCCTGACTCAATGCTTGGGGCCATGTTCAGGGGAGACTTCCCCACTGCCAGGGACTCTCAGGGCAATTACTTTATTGACAGAGATGGACCACTTTTCCGTTATGTTCTTAACTTTTTAAGGACCTCAGAGCTCACTTTGCCACTGGACTTCAAGGAGTTCGACCTACTCCGGAAGGAAGCAGACTTCTATCAGATTGAACCACTAATTCAGTGTCTCAATGACCCCAAGCCGCTGTATCCCGTGGATACCTTTGAGGAGGTGGTGGAGCTGTCCAGCACCCGGAAGCTTTCCAAGTACTCCAACCCGGTGGCTGTCATCATCACGCAGCTCACTATCACCACTAAAGTCCATTCGTTACTGGAAGGCATTTCAAACCACTTCACCAAGTGGAATAAGCATATGATGGACACCAGGGACTGCCAGGTTTCCTTCACGTTTGGGCCGTGTGATCACCACCAGGAAGTGTCGCTCAGAGTCCATCTGATGGAGTACATCACAAAGCAAGGCTTCACGATCAGGAACACCAGAGTTCATCACATGAGCGAGCGTGCCAATGAAAACACAGTGGAGCACAACTGGACTTTCTGTAGACTGGCACGAAAAACAGATGACTGATTCTGTGACTCCGCAGGAGCCACTTCAGCCGTTAGCAACTTAATTGGACAGTAAACCCAAGAGAGTCTGGATTTGGACTAAAGCAACAATGTGGGCTTTTTTTTTTTTTTTTTTTATACAACTATTTATTGTTTATCAGTAAGGGCTGGAGGAGTTTCGTTCTCTAGCAGCTCTGTCCTTTTGTCCTGTTCAGAAAAAAACCATGCATGTGCCTGTTCAGTCAAGACACCTTTTTATTTGAAAGAGGGAGACCGAAGAATTAGTACAAGGGTATTTTGTGTCATTAACACAATTCTCTGATGCAAATTAAAGTGCTAAAGTTACCTCCGTTTAAACGGTTTCTAATCCATCTAATGCTATGACACTGGGAGCAAGAAACAAAAAGAATTTAAGATGCAGTTGGGGAAAAGCTGCTATCATGTAGACTAATTTAGTTTCTAAATCAATAAACAGTATTGTAATATTCTAGGACAACAAATCCCACCCTTTAAAAGTACTTGATAAGTACAGTTTCTTACAGTTATGACAACTGTTTCTTTCTATGCATATAAATCAAAGCAACCAAATATTATCTGTAGCCATGGAAATATAATTAGAAATATTTATATTGGATTCTAAATGCAAAATGTCCCTGTGGTAGAATTCATATTTTTAATGCCTGGTGCAATATTATTCCCAAGTGTAATGCCTGCCAGCAAGAAGCTAATAAAAATGTGAAACGCAGAATACTATTTGTATTTTCTTTTTGTCTTCTAGAACTCTAATGCTTAAAAAACCCCCAACACAACCAACTGAAAAAAAAAAAAACAACCAACCCAAACCCTGTTTTTTCATGCTGCAAAGTAGTTCAGATGCTCTGGTAGCGCTCTGTTCTCTTTCATTACTGATGTACTTTGTTCCTTTTTATGTTAATCAGTTGATTCATCTGTCCACATCATAGAAAAAGCTTCTGTTTTGAAAACTGCATTATGACCAACAGAAAGATGACAAGTATTTGTACCGGCTAAAGGGATAGGGGTGGAGGCAACACAGAGCCTAAATACTTGTAGCTGCTAAGTAGTGTTATCTGGTTTGTCAGTGATTTATCGAGTGACTTACATATGTAATTTTAACTGTAGAATGCTGTTTCTGATGTTCAAGTCAAGGCACTCAGTCCTGTGTTTTCACTCAATTTTGTACAGCCATTTCTGCTAATTTTGGGCACTCTATCATAGTTATTAACAGAATTTCTGGTTACGAAACTTGGATGCTGTTGGGAGTAAGAGAGTTGATAGCTGTTTAGATGAATGGGTCACGTTCTCCCGTGACGTTCTTGTCACAAGTGTTCCTTACCACACCTGCTTTGCTCTCTGGGCTGTGCAGACCACAGCTCTTTGGGGATGTAAGAGGGGGTCTGGATTTCTATGGTTGTTGCTGGTTCTTGAAGGCAGGAGCTTTCCTTCCCATCTCTGACTCAAAAGGCCTGTCTCAGGGGTGTATTTCTCCATCATATTTTGTCTCCCTCTCTTCATACATTGCAAGGTTTTTGACTTTTGTAGTAAGACACAGTAAGAAGTTTATTCTTTCTATAAAGGGAGGGAAAGAAAAGCTGAACTGATGAAGCTCAGGAAAAGTGGTTGTTTCTTTCCAACAACATGTGGTAAGAAATATCTCTGTTAACTGGCATTGAATTATAATCACAAGATGTTCTTTGCAACAGTTCATTTACTGGCAAATTAATGACTGGTCTGGATCAGCCTGCCCTTTCCATAATTATGAAGTATAATAATTAGAGAAGCAGTATTCCAAATAATGCACTTTATTGGAGAGCAAGATTTACAGAAAGACAGTATGAGTGGTTCTATTAATGGGAAAGTAAATTCTGCGGACTGGAGTTGGCATCCGCTTTGTCTGAATCTTCATTAGCCACTGCTGAGCAAGTTAAGAGCTATTTTAATTGTCCAAACAGATGTACTTTCTAATACGCTTCTTGATCTAAGAGAACAAGTTGTTCTTAGAAACCAAGGACCATAATTTTGCCTTCCTTGGATTTTTTCCGTAAAGTTTTTTTTTGTTGTTTTTTTTTTGTTTGTTTGTTTGTTTTTTGTTTTTTGTTTTTTTTTAAGGCACTGTAGAGTTATAACACATTGAGGGGGAGCTCATAGTGTGTGGTTTATTTTCTTTAATCATCATATAGTGGTTTTGAAAAAGAGTAAGAAAGCCAGTGACGTAGTTTTGATGCTGTCAGGACACTTCAGGTTAGAAAACAGCAAAGCCTAGACTATTTCTGGCTGGATTGCCTCGTAACAGTGGGTACCACTCAGCATTGTTTGACTTCTGTCTGATTAAATGCAAATGCTAAGAATCTTATTTCCTACTTGTTGCAACTGATTATTAATTCTGATTAGTCATTACTGATGCTTCATAAAATGTAGTGCTGTACAAAGAACAGGAGGAAATGTGTGGCCTCAGATCATGGTCTTCATAATTTCGATTGTGTGTTGTGAAGAAGTGGCTTCAAATACATCTCGTAGGCTGGGCTCATCTGTTCAGAAAGAGGATGTGGAAGGAAATTAATGGTAATTAAGAAGGCGGCAAAGGCTATAATTTTTTTTCTTAAGAATGATCTCTGAAATACAGAAATCTGGACTACTTAAAAAAAATAAATCCCCAAACCTCCAGCTATTTCAGCTATGTGCAAGATCTCTTTCCCTACAGTATGTGCGGTCCTTCACGATCAGTACACAATACTCATCCCAAATGGGACAACATACTATTTAACTTCAAAAAAAAATATGCTTGGACTTGAATGTTTGCTGAAGGCAAATTTTGTGTTCAGCCGTAGAATTTCAAAGGGCTGCCGATTACCACAGTAAAAATCACACTCAAGGCAAAATGAGTTTTCAAACAGAGCAATAGCTATTTACGTCGCACAGAATTTTACATTGCTCCACGATATGGATGAATTAAGAAGTGAAAGTGCTGAAGACCGTGAAGGATGAAATTGCCTTTTTTAACATTTATGCTCTTTCTGGTTAAACATATCGTTTGAAAAAAGCAAGTGTTGCGCTAGTAAAAGTACCAGTATAGGGAAAATATCCCGTGTTTAGTGGCTCTAGTGTTTTTCCGTAATATATAAACTATATAAAACAACAGACTTGTTTTAGCTTATTTTGTACAACGTTACCTCAGCGATATAAATTTAAAGACCAAAACCACACTGGTGGCACGTGACAGTCCAGCTCCCTGGTACAAGCTCTAGTACTCTGGGGCTGTAATTCATCGTTAGGTTTAAATATCTGAGCTAAGACTATAGGTGGCATAACTGGAATATTGCAGGTTCAGAGTGCGATACTAAGGATTAAAAGCTCTTATTCCGCTTGCTTTTCTCTGTATTGCTTTTATTAAAAGAAAAGCAAACATCTTGTGCTCTGGCTAATGCAGAGGTTGCCTGGATGTAATCCAGCATCCGTACCTGCTTGTTGGTAGGTGACTTCTGAGCCCACTCGTACAGCCGCTGGTAAACCTGCCCGTCGTAACTGCCAAGTGCAGAATTCAGGCTCTTATCTGTGAAGTCAAAAGCATCCACTAGTGGAACAGCATCCTTCCTAAGGAGCAGAAGAATGACATTCACGTCACTGAAGCAGGTATTGCTTTGTGAGGGAGATAAATAAGTCACAGTTAAAGTTGTAAATCAGTTATCCAAGTTCCTCAGTCTAAAAAGCGTGTGCTGTTTTGTTTGGTTTTTTTTTCCCCGCTTGCCTACGCTGGGGAAAGTCCTGCTTGTTTTGGTTCCTCAGAGGCATGTTCCACTAACACCCTGAGCAGTCTGTATTGTTGAATGGGTACTTGCAGGGTTTTGTAATCATCTGGGGTCTGTCCCTAATTCCTTAATTTAAGACTCAATCTCACATCAGGTGTTTTCTCAGCAGGCTCTGCCTGTTCTTGCTTTTGTTTTTTTTTTTTTCTCAGGGTTTTGGTTTGGTTTGGTTTTCTTATGCTGTATGTGTTTGTGTTACAAAATGGAATAAGGTTGCTACTTGATTGATGTGCTTTGCTGATCTTCAACCTTCATCTGCTGTTAAGTATTCCTATTACCTCATCATGGGCTGTCAAGGTGTTCTACTCACTTTGTGTCTGCAAGAACAAAGCAACCCTGAACCGTACCCAGGGACCAATCTGACAGCAGTCAGCGAGAGAGAGCTACAGCGTAAGGACAAGTATGTAATGACAGCATCCTCCTAAGCCAGAGGTGGTTTCTTTTTCCTCATCCTCCCATAGTCCTGGGTGTCAGAAGTGATGCTGACTGTACCCCACACCTGAGGCACAGGGATGCAAAGTGGTTTGCTCAAATGCTGGCGTTTGCACCTACCAGTTCCTTTTGGGGAAGGGCTGTTTGGGGGTTTGGGAAAGGCTGGGTTCTCTTACAGCCTGGGAAGGGTTTGTATCCTTTCTACTAATGGTAAATAGGTGACTCTACCCAGGTAAATACCTACTCCATCCTTGAATCCTGTTAACAAGCATGGGCTAACAGAGAAATTGTAATGAATTCCGGAGATGACCATGTGTTAGGCTTTTGAAAATGTTATGTGAAGCTTATCACTTGAATTCTGCCGTCAGTTCTGAAAAAGCTTGTTGTTTGGCTCAGTCCTCTTCACCTCTTGGTTACGATGTGTTCTCGTTTCTCTTCAGGTGGCTTAAGTAGAATTTTACATCCAGTAGCAACTCGCTTCTCTGCACCGTAAATTAATCTGCTCTTAACTAACAGCACTGAGTAGTGAAAGATGAACCTTTTGTCAAAAAGCCTCTGTGAGTGTTGTGGTAAGTTAAAACCTCAGCATATTCAGAATTCACGTAGTTAGTAATAAATGGTGTCGAGCAGATGCATCTGAACTAGCTGTAGGCAGGATTGTTTGGGTACCAGTTGCAGCTCAGCCATGGCAACAGAGTAGGCTGCATTAGCTGTGGCTTAAGCAGATTTTGTGGTGTGTGATCGGTTGCTGTGGCTGCCCCCTGCCAGTGCTGCTCTGACTATGAACCTTCCTGCCTTCACTCTACTGCAAAGGGCAGGAAGCGCTCAGGATTTCTCAATTTATAATTTCAGATTTCATGTTACAGAACTTTAGAGATTGCAGAGGAGCTGGACGCTTAGGTCTATTTTGCTGTGAAAATGAGCTCTGTGTAGATGTTTCAGCTGATTTCTAGTGCTGCCAGGCAATGAAAATAAAAACCAAGTGAGGTGAATTGACTTTGGAGATGTTGCCATAGGTACAGCAGCACCATTTTATATCTATCGCAGGGACAAACTGACTTATCTGTGTGTCTCCTCTCGTGCTAGAGCAGCTCACCGAATGACAGCCAGGAGGTCCAGGTACGATGCTGTGATCATGTCCATTTGAGCTCCAGAAATGTATCCGTCATGCAAGAAAACTCCTGCATTCGAGAAGATCCCATGCAGTGCAAAGAGGTCACAAAGATGTTTCATAATCCTCCGGATGCCAGCCTCAGTCTTGAGTTTTTCCACAGTTTCTGCAAAGTTTTTCACTGTGATGTAGTGGCAGTGAGCCTGGAAAACAATTGCAATCAACAGTGAATGCACCTCAAAACAGTTTTGGTAGGCCAAGTGACTCAGAAGTTCTTGCAAAGAATATAAAACCTTTTCATTTCCCTGGCACTTTTCCCATCTGTATTCTTTGTTTGCTGGTTGACCAGGCCCTTTGCATTCATGTCTTACAGCGACAGT